AGTAGAGATTATAGATGATGATGATCTGTCTGCAAGCTGTAAGTGCCGACGTGAGTCTAATATAGTGAAGAGTTAGAGAGATAAAAGACCGCGTGAAGATCATCAAGACGCGTTGGCTCATTCTTATGTTTTTTTCTTCTTCTTGCAAATTCAATTTTATAATTTGAAAATTATATATTTTTTGGGATCTTATACTTGTTGCACATAAGTGATTAATATAGGTTTTAGTTTAAAGTGTTACTGTTTAGAGTTAGAAGTGGTCGTAGACTTTCTTTCCTTGGTACCAAAATTTAACGCGTTTGTTTGCTTAAGAGAACGACCGGGTTTTATTTGTTGATTTCCCTTGTCGGAATTAAACCATACAGCTTAAAATTTTTTTCTTTTGCCTATGGATATATTTCATGTTTTTCCCTATGATTAGTAAAAAAAATTTTAAAATCGATGAACAACCAATATCAATAAAGAAATAATTTGATAGTATTTGCTTTGGTAATAGTTAGTGTTCAAATTTATGTTTTTTAGGGAAAAAATTAGGCATATATATGGACTATGAACTTTTACCAAAGGGTGTATTGTAGAATTGTGGCATATCTGAATTGTGGACAAAATAATGATTTAGTATTGCACATTGACTTTTATTTTTAGCTGTCAACCATTCTTTCAGAAGCATTTATTGGAGTTTTGGGGAAAAAAAAAATACCCTCTTCATTGATGAGAGTATATTTTCATGAGAATGAAATAATCAGATGCATTCACGTATATATACATTAGAAAAAAAGAAAAATCTAAATTTTCTAAATTAACGTACATATATACAACGAAAAACAAATATTTCTGTAACTGGATTTTCGTGATTTGGGTTTGTATTTTGTAATCTCGGTAGAAAAATTCTGAAACTAACTTTATGCAGATGACTGATTTGCAACGGTAAAAGACACTCGCCAAATTATTTTACAGTTTCCCCTTAAAAAAATTCTCTACAAGTAAAACTGTACCAATCTTAGAAGAACACCTAAACTCTTTAGTTACTTGAATCATGAGCCACCACGAATTGTTCATGAATCTGTCTCCTCCATGGCCACATTGCTCATAGAGATCTCAATAAAGGAGCGGTGATGGTAAAATCGTTTACATTTGGAAGTTTTTGTAAAGGACGATTTCTGAGAAGCTTCTTCAAGTCAGACTGAAATAGAGTGAAAGAGAGAGAGATGAGTTAGCATCTGGCAAAAACATCGAGGACAAAGAATCTAGAATTTACCTGGACAAGATCATGAAGATGAGACACTTCTTTTCCATCTAACAGACCAACCTTCTCAAGGTTCTTGATATAACCATTTAGATGATTCAGCACATAATGTGTTACTTGTCTTGTTTTCAAAACACTCAAAACCTGGATGTCCACAGAGTTCAATGTAATATGAGCGAGCGAATACATTAGTCCTCACCAAATTTTATGGAGTGTTCGATGTAATATGAGCGAGCGAATACATTAGTCCTGACCAAATTTTATGGGTTTCAAGAAAAAGGATATGGTTTAAAACCTGAGGAAACGAATCACGGACATCTTTCAAGAACTGTTTTGCTTCTTCTCCTTCCACCTCGCTTTCATTGGTTACGGTAGAAGCAATGTCACTGTTCCCTTTGTAAAGAAAAAATACAACTAAGAGACGGGTGAGCTTTGGAGTATTTATAGAACAGAACAGAGTGATGCATACCTAGAAAGTCATGCAATTGCTGTCGCGCAATCCTATGGGCACGGAGAAAAGCAGACGAAATGTAACAAGCAGATTCCAGTTTTTCATTGATTAAATATGTAACCAACTTGTCGGGGATAAGTTGTGATCCAAGAAACTTGTAGTAATTTGGAAAATCAACACAGGGTTTTAAACCTCTCCAGTCGCATAACGAATTGGTAGAAACCAGGTCGAGGGCCTCATCTACTGATTGCATCAAAACATTCGCAGTACTTTGTGTTATTCTACCATCATCAAGCATCTCCCAGTAAGCTGCCTGGACACCTAGTACATGCAAGAGTCTCGAATCAATAGCTAGTTATGGAGAGAGAATAATTTTACAACCAGAAGATTTTAATATGCATTGTGAATACCATTTGAGAAGCGTATACGTATGTCCATTATATTCGTAGGGTCAACATTGCTAGCTTCGTATCCATTGTGAAGATTAACATGTCTCCCGTCTAAATCTTTCAAGCTTGATATATGTGTTTTAACTGTACGCCAGTCAGCAGATCCAAGCTCCTCGTCATCTCCTAGATTTTCAAAAGCTTTTAAGGCGGTCTTCATCATTCCACACTTTGTATACTCCAATATTCGTTTCTGCCGGGATAATGACACAAACCAAAAGAGCAAATATAGCATTATATTTAGGTAACAAAAGTTGCAAACATGATGCAGGATTTCGAACTAATAAATGGCATGTACATTTCAAGGATCAGTGACAGATTCCAATTATGGTTGAATCCAATCTCTAGCTACTTATTACTAGCTGGTAACACACACAAACCTATGCTAATATACCTACACTGATAGAAGGAAGCAGCCACATATGCATGCCTGAGCACAAATAAGAGGTTCCACTAGTATGTTATCATGTATTTCCATCTTAAATTAGAGAATATATGATTAAAATCCTGACCTTGGTGGCCGTTAAAGCGTCCATGCGAAGAAGGTGCAAAAGTAATTGGGTAGTGGATCCAAAGTTAGGAAAACAATCCCACCCGTGAAGAACAGGAACTGCAAAACAGCTGAGCTCATCAAGATATCCAAAAGAGTCTCCAAAAAGAAAGGTCATAATGTGTTTCAAAACTCACCCTTGTTCCCGTCTCTGAACTGAGATACGAATTGCCACTTGATTGCTGAATATATGACCGAGAGCTAGAGTATGTCAGAGCTAAGGAAATGGGGACATGACTATAAAAGATAGGAAAAGAGATAACTAGAATATATATAGCTCTTCCATAAAGAAAACGACCATTTTTCCAGACTCACTTTTACAGATAGAGCGAGTGATAGGGACACAGCACCCCTTAATCCAGACCACGTGAGTATGATGGATTCCTTCCAATCCAAGCCGTAGCAATGGGTACAAAACTCCAACCACAACAAAGCGGGAAATTTGGACATACAAGTATAAGAGGAAAAGAAATCCCCACGAGTTTCCTGAGAATAAACTTATGAGTCATGAATGTTCCTTAAACTCAATATCTGTAAAAGATAGCTAATGCGGGAATGATATCAGGAACTAGTTATGTATCGAGGGCAGTTAGAAATATACTATATACTATATCGAACTCTACGGGAAAACCTCTGTTCATATCTTTCGAGAATAGAACAACAAGAAAATTCCAAACATCAAATGTGAAGGGGTACCTTCATAAGATATTTTCTGATCAATAATAACACCACTGCAATTCACAAGAGAAACAAATGAAATGCAATTGTATCAATCGAATAGCAAGAGTTCTGCTGGAGAACGGATAAAAAGAAAAATATAACTTTGCAAAAATAACCCGGTTACTTTCTGTTTTTGAATCCTGCCAGACATTTCATACCTCAGTACAAAAACTAACGTATTTGCAATATAAGCGACCATTTCCCTACAAAATTTTAAAAGACAGTCATATACTTATATAATACATGTCAATGAGCAAAGGAATTCTGAGTTGTACAAACCAGAAGTGATGCAAACTCTGGTGACTGTCAGCCTTAAATGCTGTCCTTGCAAATGCAACGAAAAACCTATTATAATTGTTATACGGAAAATGAATCTCTAACACGGCACCAAAAGAAAGAAGGGATAATTCACCATGACTTACATCACCAGTGTCATCACAGTCAAAATTCCAGAAACCCCAGCCCACTCTTGAGCCTGTACATGGTAGAAAAAACTCTCAGGCTTTGTAGGGATCTAGGATTCTGGAAATGGAGATTCAGGTGCGGAGAAGAGTATACAGTGTAATATGCGAAATAGCTCACTGAAAGCGTTACAGTGATCTGAACCACCGTGTCGTTGAATACGAATCTAAGCCAAAGAACTGATGCAATGCCAAAAGCTAGACCAATGCCTACACTAAAAAAACAAAACAGAACCACACATCATAGTCTGAGAAAAAGGACACCGACACACAATACCACTAACAAAGGGAAAACAAATTCATACGCTCCAAATGAGTTTTGAGCAAGAAATTTGATTATGGAACCCCAATCAGAGCTATGCCTCATTACCATCTTGAAGAATAACTGAAAGACCACAACTGATACCCTGAATTTTTAAACAAACTAAGCTTGAGAATAAATGACATAGGATCACCTCGACAGTAAACATAAGGGTTTAAATGATTAGCAAAGTTTGACATGCTTACCCATCGTTCATCACAGATTCTCCGTCAATTATAGTGGTGAGCTTCTTACTAGCACCAAGCTCCTTTAGCAGAGCAACAACAGCCACAGGGTCAGTAGCTCCTAAAAGTCCTCCAAGCAACAGTGATGTTTTCCAGTCCCAGTTATATGGAAAAGTGAGCTACAAGAGCACAAGACAATTACAACTTAATGGATAGTCATTGTTCACGGTCTGCGTGTCCAAAGCTAGCTCATACCTTCAAAAGAGATCCAATACAAAAGGTAGATATCAAAACTCCAGGGCCAGCAAGCAAAACCATTTGCCCCATACACCTCTGCCAATGATGTAGACAGTCAATAGTAGGAACCCAAACAGACAAGGAAGTAGCCGAATACACAAACTTTAGGAAAGTAAAAACGCCACATTGAAGATAGAAAAACCTTGATCTGGTGCACATCCATGGAGAATGAGCTCTCGAAAAGAAGAGCAGGGAGAAAAACAGCCAAAAGTAGATCAAGGTTAATACCATTCCCTGTAAAATAAAGCCAGGATCATTTCATTGCTACTTCAAATATCCTGAAGTGCCATTATTCACAACTCGTAATCTAACATGGCGGAGAAAGAATACAGAAGCTTACAGATACGAATTCCATTGCCGATCTTGCCAAGGTTATGATTGGTTCCATATTCTGCAGACTCAAATAACGAAAAATTTGATTCCCAAATTCGACGACAATGGAATTTGACAAGATTCCTAATCAAATAAGCAGAACAAACAAAATCCAAATTCGACGACAGTAATCATTCCTATTCTTCCACGATAAAAAATTGAAACTGAGCTACAAGCAGCAACGAATTGAGAAGAACACTAATCAATTCAGATAGTTGAGTCAAAAACCCATGCACCAAGGAAACTCGATTTCTCACGATGGCTTTGATTTTCTTGGGAAATTAACAGATAGAAAGCTAAAATAGCATGGAAATCAAACCTAGGGATCCGAGAACAATGCCGATGAGGAGGAGAAGGACGGTGTACGGAACTCTAGTGCCGTTAAACAAATGTCTGCAAGCTGTGCCGAGAACAAGCGAAATTCCGGCGAAGATAACAGCATCTACAGGATTCGAATAGTTTTCGATTGAAGAAGACGAACTTACTTTCTCCGGTGACTTGTACGGCAACGCCGCGTCGATTATACTCGTCATCTCCGTTATACGAAGAAGCAAAAGTTTTTTTTTTCTTTTTCCCGTGAAATGATGTTTTGATGGTAATTAACTAATTATGGCTTGTTAACCAGTAACATAATTACCCGGTTTACACCTAACCGGAACTCTAATAGTTTTGCCTTTTGTCAACATTTTAATTAGCGTTTTTGAATTCGAGTTATGAATTATAACAAGCTATTGAAATACAAATGATTACAAAATCATACAATGCAAAAAACCAGTTGACTGAAAAAGTGAATTTTTAATTTTCAAAAAACAAAGAAAAGTCAATTTTGATGATTTTGTTCCACGAAGAAAAAAAGTATTCGTTAAAAATCAGTTATTTTTGTCTTTCTTATCAGTTTTAATCGGATGCAATCACTATGTTTTGATAGTCACCTTTTTTTTGTTTTTGGGTATGAATGTTGAGATTTTATACTATTTTTTTGTTTGTTTTTTTTAAGAAAATACAACCTCGTAAACTACCTAGTAAACTATCCAATGCATCATCATAACTAACCCAGAAGGAACATTGCAACAAACAATTACAGAGGAAAGGAGAGACAACCAAACCAAAGTAAAATTCAAAGAGAGAAGGAGCGCGGAAGTTCATCGTCGGAAAAGAAATGAGACGATCACGGATTGTTCGATCGATGGCGTGATGGAGATTGGAACTCACTTGCACGGTCTCGTTATTCATGCCATAAAAAGAGGGAAAACGGCCGATTCATACCTCTACTCTTGTACACGGTCCTATTACGAACATGTATTTGTGACATGTGCGAATACATGCACGTACTTTATTTTAATTCAAATTTCTTACCTGAACAACCGTATTTGTGCGCTATTACATAACTAACATTCCGTTAACTATTTCATTTATTTAAAAAACGACGTCATTTTGGTCGTTTTTAACAGATTTTTTTTTTTAATCAACACGATCCGTTTTGGTT